GATTGTTTGACGAGACCTCCGTGTTTGTATCGGCATTGTTCCGTGGTCGACGAGGACATTGATTTCTTTGTGGAGGAATGGTAGGATTCACTTGAATCGGTATCTTCGCTCGATAGATCGTGGAGATTGTTGCTACCACGAGAATTTGATTTACGTTTTGACTCGAGTTCTCTGTAGGTCAGAAAGCTTCCGCTGACACGGCTGGCCGACCAACTCTTACCGTCGGTCCACCTCCGCATACCAGCCTCACGTTCGTCCCATACAAACACGGAACCCGAGCGGATTAAGGATCTTTCCTTTTCACTCAATCTTCTTTGTATACGGGATAAAGTGCCCGTTCTGCATGCTTCGAAGAGTAGGATAGCGTCTTGTGGTGTTTTAACGTAACCGTAGTAGGTCTCCATTTTTTTTTTTTATATCCTGTTATTTCTAGAAGAAAAAAAACGAGAGTTAGAAATTGAACGAACATGAAATTCGATGTGTGAAATAAAAATCCAAATTATCAATCGACTAATCCCGATAAACCGAATGTCGGAATTTTGAGCTCAAAAGTGTGCCGAGCCAGCGTAAAGCGTTGTTCGGTTCACCAAAGATTCGAAGAAAGAGAAATAATAAAATAAAGAGACCGAGAGACTCACCAAGTGATTATATTAAGTAGTTGTTTTTTGGAGTTTTTGTTGTCTTGCGTTGTGTTTTCTCAGTTTTGGTGAAAGTTGTGTGCAACTTTTTTGGTTGTTTTTTTTTTTTTTTGAGTTGTTCTCTAACTACGGAAGAGTAAATACTTTTTTGTATATTCTATGTTGCTGGTGACTAATAGCGATAATAATGTTTCTTATTTCCCACTGTTAGATCAATCAATGACCAAGAGCAAGAAGTGTAAGTAGTGAAGAAAAAAAAAAAAGGTTTGAGCTTTTATATATGTTGCGTACCGGTTGTATTATTATTAAAAAAAAAATAGAAAAAAAAAGAATATAATCCGAAAAAAAAAAAAAACGAAATTTTTTTTTCGAAGTTGATTTTTTTTTTTGTAGGTGGGGTATCAACGCTATTTTATGAGAAAAATTCGGTGAAAGGGTATGGGGTAGTATTAGTCAGAAATGAGGGTGCCACTTCGGGTTACAGAGTGGCAGTAGTTTAAATATGTGTTATAGGTAACGATATTATGTATGAATAGGCGTATTTTAGAGTTTTTTTTTTATTATTATTGAGAAAAGAGGAAAAAAAAAAAAAAAAAAAAAATAGGGAGTACTCTTTTTTTCTTGTGTCTGAGTTTGATGTTGTGTTGTTTTTTTGTGTACGTGAGTTGTCTGTAGAATAGAATAGTTTATTATATGACCGAGTGATTATAGAAACCTTTTTTTTTTTTTTTTTTGGTCAAAAGAGAAAAAAAAAAGGAACAAAGTATAAAATTTTCATGTACTGTACATACATACAAACATCTGCAGTATATACATCTGCAGTATATACATCTGCAGTATATATCGACACTTTTTTTTTTTTGCTTTATTACAATATAAAAAATTATTTATATTGTGCGGTACACAATTTTCGCTGTACACTAAAATAAAACATAATATTAAACATAATATTTTAAAAACTCAGACTCAGTTCATTTTGATACAGACGAAATCCTAAAAATCAACATGAACACAATATATAAAAATAAAAAAATAAAGAAAAATCGATGGTCCAAGGACAATAAAATTTTTTAGACTAGCAAAATTCATGTGCGACGCTTTTTATTTTATTTTATTTTATTTTTTTTTTGAAGTATTAGGCTAGAGTGACAGGATTTTAAACTAAGCATTTTTTTTTTTTGCAAAGGTTCCCGAAATACGTAAGGTCTTAACTAAGGTTGTATGTATATCGAAATGTTTAAAAAAAAAAAAAAAATTTTTTTTTCTATTATTACTATTATTTTCGATTGTTAATACGTATTCGATCCTTCTTTGGTCACAGTTTGTTGCCTGGACGTTTTTTTGTTGACACATAAATTATTAATTAAAAATCACTTATTTTTTTTTAAGTGTAAAGAGGCAAAAAAAAAAAAGGAAATTATGCTCTTTTTTGGAAATTTCAATTGAGATTTTTGTTCAAAATCAGAAAAGAGGGTGACAGATAATTCCTTCTTAAGAATCACCGAACATAATACCTGTTACGTATGTCTGCAAGTCAATAGGAAAAACATAATAAGTCCCGAAAGGCACTACTAATACAATACAATACCATTTCTCCTGTAAATTTATTATTATTATTATTATTATTATTATTATTAACATATATATAAGAAACATGTGACGAGTGCGTTGGTGTGATGAAAAATTCTTGCAAGTGTCTCGGGAATAACAATCACTAGTATTTTAAGGAATTCGATAATTGTCAGATTTAATTGTTGTCTCCCCTTTTTGTTACTCCTTCGATACAATTGTTCAAACGAAGAAATCGTAATTGTTGAATAACTGCGCCACGATTTCACAAAACCACTCTTTCGATAGAGGATATATTGGGTGTGGTGTCAGAATGTGTCAGAACGAAGGCCGTAGCGTCATGTTAACTCTAAAAGATTCCGCTCAGCATCTTTGTAAGATGTACGCGGAATCGAAAATGTTCATCTAGTAAAACACCACACGATTACTTCCTATCCATCCATCATCTCATCAAAATTATCCAAGGAAGTGCAGACATCCCGATAAAATTACGAAACTTTGTTCATATCCATCTTGGCAATATGATTTCATGCTCCACATATGCCAAACGTTGGTATCACGGAGTTTTAAAATCTCGACGAAAACAAACCGAATGCAACCCCATCTTGAAAATTGATGATTGAGTCGATTCCTTGAGATGTTAATCCAACGTTTATTACATCGATCAATCAATCAGTTAATCGATCACGTATTTTAATCCCTCAAATCGATTGACCGTTAATTATTAATTAATATTAATAGGATGATTTTATCATTCCAACCTGTGATCTTTGTCGAGCGATCTTGTGATAGACTATTCTATTGGTCTTCTCCGCATTTGTAGCAAGAAAACCTTTGATCACGGGAAGTAAAGGAATATTTAATATTGATCGATTCATTTGATTAATCAGATCACGATCACAGTGCTACTGCTAGCGACAGGTTTGAGAGGTTCTCGATGGTCCAAGTCGTGTCATGTGCAAGTGATGTCACGCGATAACGTTAAATTTTTTGCGCACCATTTCCCGAAGATTTGAAAGTAGCCTGATAAGTAGTAAATTGCCTAATAAGCAATAAATAATAAATAAATAATATGCATTTTTACGATTGTTGACAAAAATTTAATTTAGATAGTTAGTTGCTGCGGAGACCCTCTATATGTTTCGTGCAGCCTAAATCTTTTTGTACGTAAATGTAAATAGAATAATCGAAGCTTGGCTCGTATTGTTGTCACTCGATACGTCGATGACGATAATGAAAAATGACGATATTGCGCGGTAACTGATAGAATGGAATCATGATACAAGCATTTGTTCACTATCCTGAGGTTAATGTTGACACGATTAGTACGTTGGCTATTCTTTTTTGATTTTTATTACGTGTACATTCCACCTTATCCGATTGACATCTCCTTTTGCACTTGTTTTCATTTCACTGGACAAAAGGTGCATATTAAAAATTCGGTTGTTGGTTAGGCGATATGGTAACCCCAATCAAGATTGAAGCTGCGTGAAGCAATGTGAAATGATATACTGTGTAGGTATTTTATTTTTCTCCTTTTTCTCTTTTTTTTGTTTTTCAGTAATAAAAACGCAGGATCATGTGAGTTCGAGACAGTTAACAGATTACGGAAAAGAAAAAAAAATCCACACACGTCAATGATCAACTATCCGCTATATTACCCAAGTATTAAGGTACTAGTTGGTGGGATGTAACGTATTGCATATCACGGAAATTAAAGTTTTACCCTTCTATATTACATGTTTCCAAATTTGGGCAATATCAGAATCGAGGGATAACTATGTTTCTGGTTATAACTCTCA